GTGGTGGTGTAATGATGTGGGGGAGATTTTCTTTGGGTTCATTAGTACCAATTGAGCATCAACGCCACAGCCTACCTGAGTATTGCTGCTGACCATGTCCATCCCTTTATGAGCACAGTGTCTCCATCTTCTGATGGCTACTTCCAGCAGGATAACGCAGCATGTCATAAAGCTCAATCGTCTCAGACTGCTGAACATGACGATGAGTTCACTGTACTCAAATGGCCTCCACAGTCACCAGAGCTCAATCCAATAGAGCAGCTTTGGGATGTGGTGGAACGGGAGATTGGCATCATGGATGTGCAGCCGACAAATCTGCAGCAATTGCGTGATGCTATCATGTCAATATGGAGCAAAATATTTCCAGTAGCTTGTTGAATCTCTGCCATCAAGGATATAGGCAGTTCTGAATGCAAACGGGGGTCCAACCCGGTACTAGTAAGGTGTACCTAATAAACAGGCCGGTGAGTGTATATACAGTTGAAGTCAGAATTATTAGCCCTCCAAAACAGAAATAATATTTGTTCTCAACACATTTCTAATCATAACTTTTAATAAGTCATTTTATTTTCTCTTTGTCATGATGAAAGCGCATAATATTAGACTTGATATTCTTCAAGACACTAGTATTCAGCTTTAAGTCACATTTAAAGGGTTCACTAGGGTAATTAGGGTAAAGTTAGGGTAATTAGGCAAGTCATCGTGTAACGATGTATATTGAAATCTAATATTGCTGAAGGGGCTAATAATGTTGACCTTAAAATGGGTTTAAAACAATTCATAACTGCTTTTATTCTAGCCGAAATAAAACAAATAAGACTTCGTCCAAAAGAAAAAGTATTAGAGGAAATACTGTGAACAACTCCTGAATCTGCTAAACATCATCTGGGAAATATTTGAAAAAGAATAAACAATTTACATGAGAGCGAGCCATTATGACTTCAACCGTATACACATAGCACATTTGTTTTAGATTAGATTTCCCAAGTGACACAGTCGGCAGCAGGAATATAGCGCGCTGTCACTTTAAGCCAGGGGTGTCAAACTCAATTCCAGGAGGGCCGCAGCCCTGCACAGTTTAGGTCCAACCCTGCTCCAA